ATAATCCATAATTTCCAACCCAGGTTCCTATAAATGCTTCCAGATTGGTGTCCTTGCCTACCCTCTCCATTTGTCACACTGGAACAGAAATATTCTTCCTACAAGCAAAACTAATTGTTTTCATTCTTTGAGCAATGTTTACTAGGCTTTGTACAGGTGTTGAGGATGAGATGTGTAAAACACAGTGCCTGCTCTCTAGATGGCCTGTCGCCTTTTAAACCTCTTTAATAAGAGTGCTTCCTATAGTTTAAGCTCATGAATCTGAAGCACAGGCCTTGTGATCTGGCCCCTGCCTGCCTCTCCAGACTTATCTTCAGATACACACCCACCCCACCATGGAACTCTGTTTTCTTTTACTAGTCACAGTTTTGCTAGTTATGGATTTCAAATAAGACTATTGGATTTGTATCATCCACCCTTTTAGCATATGCTCAGTTCAATTTAGTTTCTTTAAACAAATAAGCAAGAAGCCAACATCTGGAGTCCAGACCTTTCTTCCGAGCTACAGATTTGTATTTCTAGTTGCCCGATTGGTATTTGTACTTGACAGTCTCACAGGTACCTCATACTCAACATGCTGAAAATTGCTCTTGTAATTATCTCTGTTTTCACAATGTCAGTAAACTATACTACCATCAATTAAAGTGTTTAGGCAAGACTCTTGGGAGTCATCCTTGGTAGTTTTTCTTCCTCACCTTTATATCAAATCATTTACAGTCCCTGTTTATTTTACTTCCTAAATATTCTCAAGCCTGTTCACTTACGTCAATTCCCAGTTCTGCTCATCTAAGTAGCAACTTGCCTTAGCCCGGACTTTTGTAACCTCCTAGCTAGTCCTCCCCCATCTATGTTTCCTTCCTTTAGAGCATTTTCCACACATACCGATCTGGCACCATATATTTACTGTTGTATTAGTCAGCGAGTGCTGCCGTTACGAGATACCATAGACTAGGTGGCTTAAACAATAGACATTTATTTTTTCATAGCTCTGGAAGCTCTAAGTCTGAGATCAGGATGTCCGCATGATTGGGTCTAGTGAGAGCTCTTTTCCTGGCTTGCAGGCAGCCAACTCCTTAAAAGCTCTAGTGTCTTTATAAGGGCATTCATTCCATTACAAAGGCTTCATCCTCAGGACTGCATGTAACCCTAATTACCCCTCATAGGCCCATCTTAAATACCATCAGATTGGGGAATTAAGACTTCAACATGTGAATTTGGGTATGACAAACATTCAGTCCATAACAACTATATTTTCTTATTTTATGTATTTTTTTTTTTTTTTTTAGCTGAGCCATCCTGCCACTTGTTGGCAGCTCAGCTCAGGCTGTGAATCGAACCAGTGACCCTGTTGCTCAGAGCTTGAACTCTTGAGCAAGCTCTTAACCAGCTGAGCCACTCATCCGGCCCTATTTTATGTATTCTTGATGCTCTGGAATCTGGGATCTCACTGATTAGTGAGAGACTGCCCCTCCCAGGGATAGCCAATTCTTAGATATAGCAAACAACTCATCCTGGACTGTGCCTTTCATGTGCAAACTAACCAATCCAGAGCCCACACTCTAAACCACTCTTACACTCTAGGAGGCAACATTCCTCTGCCCTAAATCACCCCAGGGCCAGGTAGGTACCAGACCACTAAAGATAGCACCTTGACCCCAGAGCCTACTGAAATTATTCAGGTTAGCCAGTGCTAAGCCTGTTTACCCTCCCTTGCTTTGCTTTTCTCTCAGAAACCACAATAAAGGCTGTCACCCCTGCTTTCCATTGCTCCTTCTTTCTCCTGACTGACCCTGGTGTCTTCCCGTGGCCCTGCGAGGCATAGCATGCCCCCTCCTCTTGGGAACTGTGAATAACAAACTGTCTTTTCAATGGCAACCGTCTCCTGATCTGTCAGCCTCACCATACCTGAATAATTATAAAGCCTATATTTTAAAACACACCATTACCACTGTTATGGACTGAAGTGTGTTCTCTCAAAATTCATATGTCCCCATTTTGATAGTATTTGGAGATGAGACCTTACGGTGGTAATTAGGGTTGGATGAGGTTATGAGGGTGGAGGTCCTCATGATCGGGTTAGTACCCTTATAAGAAAAGACAGAGAGTCTGCTCTCTCTCTCTCCATGTGAGGATACAATGAAAAGATGGCCAAGAAGAGGGACACTACCAAGAACCAAACCTGCCAGCACTGTGATCTTGGATTTCCTAGCCTCCAGAGCTGTGGGAAATAAATTCTGTTGTTTAAGCCACCCAGTCTATGGTATTTTGTTATAGCAGCCCAAGCTGATGAAGACAGTCACCCAGCTTAAACCTTTTTAATGCCTTACCATTGCTTTTAAGATAAATGAAAAATCGCTTTCAGCCTAAAACACTTTGCGTGGTCTGTTTGCTGCTTATCTCTCTAGTCTCATTTCATATCCCTTCTCTTCATCACAAATTAATCTTCAGCCACATTGGGCTCTTTTCACTTCTTTAAATTCCTCTCCTACCACAGGACCTTTGCACATGCTGTTACTGCTGCTTAGGGTTCTCACCTTCCCCTCAGTCCCTCTTCACCTTACTCACACCTGCATGTTTTCCAGGTCTTAGTTTATATGTCACTTCTTTAAGGAAAATTTTTATGACTACCTAAGTTAGGATCCCTATTTTATGGTCTTGGTACTCTGTACTTTTCCTTTATAGCACTTATCATAATTATAATTAATATTTGTTCATACAATTAACTATTTGATGCCTCTCTCTCCTGCTAGATTGTAAAGTACCATAAGAGCAAGTGCTATCTTGTCTCCTGCACATAACACAGTGCCAGGCACATCGTAAGTGCTTAATATTTGTTGAATCAGTGAATAAAAGAATGACAGCAATTATTTCAGCTGCCTTGCATTGACTATATGGATAGGCCTATGGGATAATACACAGAAAGTAGATCTTTTTATATCCTACTCTCCAAATACATGGATAGACTCCCCCAAAATGGGCCATTTATATACCTCAGTACATTGTGGAAATGGCCAAATAATTACACAGATATTTTGCTAACACATGAAAACTTAATAAAGAAGATAAAAATGTAAAAGATGTTTAATGTAAAGCCAGTAGATCCTGGTTCAAAACTTTAACTAGAGGAATCTTTTTTATATAATAAAACTTATGGTAGATTTATCTATAGCATATCATGATACTGTGCAAGGTGTTTTTGAACATTTAAAAGTGATTCAAGTGAGAGGTTTTGGAGGCAATATAATGTAGAGGTTTGCTCCAGAGTCAGTTCAAAATCTGGCTCTGTTAATTTATTAGCTCTGTGATCTTGGAAGAGTTACTTAAAATGTCTAAATCTCAGTGTTCTGGTCTGGAATGGAGATAATAGTGCCATTCTTAGAATTGTTGTGAAAATTAAATGAGATAATGAATGTAAAACACTTAACCATAAGACCTTGCTGAAATGCTACTCTTTTCATTAGTCCAGTAATTTACCAGAATAGATCACTTTGCATAAGCCCTCTTCTTTCTTCCTTCAGTGCCTTTCTTTACCACCCCGTTTTATTTCCTGCTACTATCTTCTCTGGCTTCTGTGTGCCCCTTTTGTTGGAATTTTACTCTATATTTAATCACGTTTTGCATTTTTTTTCTACCTTACTAGACTGTGAATTCCTTAAAGGCAATGACTGTGTCTTGTTTTCATCGTATCCCCAGCTTCTAACACATTGCATGGCCCATACTCTATATATTATTAAAGAATTAATTAACCACATAACAGTGAATAAATAAATTCTATAGTATTAGTTTAAGGATTAGAAATAACCTATCTACAACACTTAGCTTGTAGTTGAATACATAATAGCTATATAATAATTATTGCTAATGATGATATTCTTTTTCAGAGACATAGGTTAGTTAGGTTAACTAAATGACTTCCTGACTATTACTATCTCTTCTTATGTATATTAGTGGACATTTTATCCATCTTAAGTGCTATAAGAAGGGGGAGAAATGCAAAAGAATATTGATAGGACCCACAGACCTGCAGATAGTGGGCATCATTCTTTCCTGAAAGTGTGATACCATAGTTTGTGATACCAAATGATCTGAGCTACTTAGGTATATACATTAGGACAGACAGATGGATGGATAAGCCTGTTTGTTCAAAAACAATAAACTAAATATACACACTCAGAGTAAATTAGATGATGATAAGTGATGAGACAAATAAAGAGTTAACAGGAGTGAGCTTGTGGGCTAACAGGAGCGAGCTTAAACATTAACCACTTGGCCCTGAATCTCCTGGCCAGCACTGCACCTGCAGGCTGACAAGCACCTTACATTCATCATAGGTGGGAACAAAACAGTTCCCAGTTGCAATGGCAACCCCCCTGCAAACTAACTATCACCCATCATAGGTGGAAACAGAACAGTCCACAATCACAACAGCCACTCTCTGAAAGCTGACATCTATCACAGATGGAAACAGGACAGTTCCCAGGAGAAGACAATTGTAATGGCAGCCCCCCTACAAGCTGACAAGCACCCTACATTCTGCATGGAAAAATATAAAACCCAGAACTTCTTCTCATCGGTGCAGCTGTCCCCCATCGGACTCTGCCCTGGTAAACTTTTGCCAGTATCTCTCTCTTACCCCTCTGTCTCCACAGCTGTCTCCATCAGCCTCTGCCCTGGCACAATTCCTGCCAGTATCTCTCTCTTACCCCTCTGTCTCCTCAGCTCTCCCTCTCAGACTGTCCTGGCAAAACTTCTAACAGTTCCTAACAGAACTCTCCCTTTTTTGACTTTCAATAAATCTTTTCTTAGTCTTGTAGAGTCTCCTAAATTCTTTTATATTCTGTGAACGACCACAGGTTAATTCTACACCAAGACAATAAATATGTAAAAGAATTACTAAAAGAGGTAATGAGGTGGCCATCTTAGTCATTCTGATGTTTTATTTTGATTTACATAATAATTGCAGCTCTACAATTCATGTTATCTGTCTTTGTTTCTTACAGCTTTTGGATGAACTCCCAATGATTTACAGCTGTTGTATATTTGTGTACTGCATGTAAGTACTTAAGTTTAAAATTAAGTTGTTTGATATAGTTTAAAATTCAGTTGTTTGGTATATTTAAAATTCATATTTGCCTCAGTAAATTAAGTAATGTAACTAACTCAGTGTTACTGGAAGATTGTAGATTATAACTTTTGTGGTCTCAATACCTTATAGCCAATTTAGATAAACTCTTACTTAAATTTGACTTAAATTGCATAATTTGCTTTTCCTTGAGTTATGAATGCATACAAATTTAGATAAAGATTTTATATATTATGCCATAAAAATAGAATTTATCTACTTTGTACCTGTAATTGGTCTAGAGATACCAAGTCATCTCTCATTCTCACAGTTGTGCAAGATAAATGAATATTGTCCCTATATTATAGATGATGAAATGAAGCACAGAGAGATTTAGTAATTTGTCTAAGGATATGTCAATATAAGAAACATCCAAACCTGTGGAGAATTTGTGAGAGTTTTTAGAGCCTAAACTGATGACAGTGCCAGGAAGCAAGATCTCAAATGCTCCCAGAATAACAGTTTTGCAGTTTCTTTTATGCTTTTGAAATTAAAGGGGGAATTTAAGGTGGGAGAAAGCAAGGTGGGGACTGGAAAATAGACAGTTAATAAGATTATGTTCTTCCTTGAGGGTGGTTATGCTTATGTCTAAAGTGTGTTAACCTAGATTCACAAAATGGACAATGGACAGGACTTGCTTAAAGCAAAGATAAACCTTTTACTAACAAAGTTATAAGCCTGGGGCATGACTACCCATCATGACCTGCCCAGTTAGGGATTTATGATCAGGTCACTTTTTGAAGAACCCTTTTTTTCATGCACAGATATAAGCAAAGCTTATGCTTAGGTGACTTGCCTAAGATCATGCAGTTAGTAAGTGTCAGCGTTGGAAACCTTACCTTTAATAGTTTAATAACCTTACCTTCTAGTATACCTTCAGTTCCCTAGCACTAATACTTAAGATGTCTCTGAACCCCTTATGTGATGGTTGTCTGATTCTTTTCAATATGATCATCATTGTTAGCTCAAGAATATCCTCTTCTATGTAAAATTCAGAATAGTTCAAAAAATATATTATTAAAAAAGAGCCCTTCTTAAATTTTTTCTGTAAAGGACCAGATAGTAATTATTTTAGGCATTGTGGGCTTATGGTCTGTTTCAACTCTTCAGCTTAGCTACTGTAGCTTAGAAGCAGACATCAAAATGTAAACAAATGGATGTGACTGTGTGCCAGTAAAATTTTATTTACAAAAATGGGCTTAGGCTGAGAATTGCCCTTGAGCTGTAGTTTGCTGCCCTGATCTAGAAAAATACTTTCAGATGAGCTCTTTTTAATAAGTCATCAAGTTACAGAATTTAAAGATAAAGGAAATCATTTGGGCCATCACCTTTTTTTATAGGTAATGAACTAGGAGTTGGGTCCAATTCCCACAGCCAATTAATTAGTAAACTGAGAGAACTCTTATGTGTATTGAAACATAGGCTCAAAGGTTGGATACTTAACTGATGGCCAGATATTTATTCGTATTTCTTTATTTACTGAATATTTCTTGTATGTCAGACACTATCCTAGTGACTAGATATATGGAAAAAGAAGATTTTTATTCCTGCACACAAGGAATTCAGTCTGGTTGAGGAGATAGATAAGTAAAGAGACAATTATAATACAGTGACATTTTACATAATGGTGTGCCTTAGTCCAGGATCATTAGTTGCAAGATGTGGAAGCCTACTGAAGCAGCTCGAGTTAAGAGAGATTTATTTATTGTAAGGACATGAGGAAATTAGATGGAGCCCAATAGCAGGAAGTACAATCTCACTAGGCTGGAAGGACAGCTTCTTTCTCTCCCTCCCTCTTGTCTCCCTTCCTTCCTTTCTACATGGTTTCACATCTTATTTTTCCCTCCCTGCAAATCACTTCTCTGCTCATTCACCTATTTGTTCATTCAGTTTATCTCCCCAGATATCAACATCAGAACTTGAATCCATGTGGCTTTATACTTTGACTCTCCACACTTAATTGATTCAGTCTCTGGCTCCCAAACTCCACATTTTCAGAAGAAAGCCTCCCATTGGCCCCGTTTAAGTAAGGTGCCCACTCCTGGTCCCCTAACCCTTTGGAGGCTATAGGTAGTCCGAGCTCTCTAAGGTGAGAGTACGGGTGGGCAGGAATGATGGGCGTTGCTACACCCAGTGTGCACGTGGAAAAACAGCATTCTACTTATTTTCCTAGTTTTATATTCTAAAACAAATTTCTATTTCTTTTTTTTTAAGGTTTGAATGTTTCAAGGTCAAGAACTCAGTAAACTACCATCTGCTTTTTACTTTAGTTCTATTCAGTTTAATAGTAACCACAGTAAGTCATATTTTGTTTCTAACAGACTGAACATGTGAACTAGCCATATATGGAGTTTGGCACATTTTGCTTCTAGTGTTTTTATTTCATGCTGTTCAAACCGAAATGTTTCTACACAAAACTCACAGATACTGCTCCTTTGTTTCCTGTTTAGGTATTATTTTTCAACCAAAAATTGAAACAACTTTTTAAAAAATCGGGGGTTTTTTTACATGGCGGCAAAAGTCAAAAGACAGATACTTAGTGCCAATGGAAAAAATTAACTTTTTTTCATGGATAGATATACTACCTCCTGTTTGTTTAAAAAAAGAGAGAGAAATTGGCTCTGTTCTGTTGGGCCTTGTATGATTATTTTAATGGTTAGCTTTTTTCTAATAAGTTGAGAAAGCTGGTCACTTCTGATCCTACTCAGGTGCTTTTTTTCCTCAAGTGAATTGAATTTTGTAATAAGAGCTACTCATTTCAACAAGCTTTTATTGCAAACCTACCATATCAGGCCGTAGAAAATACGAAGATGACTAAGAAGCAGTTGCTATGCTTGAGGAGTACATTCTAGTAAAGAAGTCAAACATGCAAACTAAGAATTGCATCAAAAGATGATAACTGCAAACAGAGATGTAGAGGATCGGTGAAGATTGCTTGAATGGGTCAAGGAAAGCTCCAGAGAGGAGGCACTTGAGCTGGGTTTAACTGATGATTAGGAATGCGCCAGGCCCCTGAGCCAGACTGCAGGGAAGCATTTCTAAATAGACGGTGGCGTTGTCCATAGGCAGAGAACCTTGAAATAACATAATGAACTATCATTTTTTTAAGTGCTTAATATGTGTCAGATACTGTACTATACATTTATTTTCTCATTAAATTATCACTGCCAGTGGAATGGGGAGAGATTTCATTAAATCAGACTACCAGTTGACTTAGGAGAGATTTAATATGGCTGGAGCATATGTTAAGTGGTGAGGAGTGAACGAGTTTAGTGAATTAGACAAATGTCAGATTATAAAGACCCTTGTATGCCATATATAAGTTTGGGTATTTATCCTCAGGGTAGTGTGGAACCATGAACTGGTTCAAAGCAGAGGAAAAACATAATTAGATGTGTATTTTAGAAAGATCACTTTGGTTATGGAGGCTGGATTAGAGGAGTAGGAGGCTAGACAGGGACTTTTACATTTGCTTAGGCAAGGTATGAGACTCAGACTGAAGTAAAATAGCTGTAGGGATGAAAAGCTATCATAAATAGCAACCCATAGGACTTGTGATCCACTTAAATACAGGGACTGGGAATGGAGTAAAAAGAAGGAATTGTCTAGAATGATTCCTCAGTTTATGACCTGGCTATCAGGATGCATAATAGATCCTTCACCAAGTTAGGAAACTTGGAGGAAGAGCAGATTTTTCAGGAAAGATAATGAGAAGATGTGTGTTATGGAGGTAGAGATAGAGAAATTCAACTTGCAAAGTGTTGAGATTGAGGTGCCTGATAGTACTGATATCTGAGGCTTACCAGGTAGGCTGGGCTAAAGATGGGGATTTGGGAGTTGTCAGGGTATAGGTCATACTAGAAATGTGGGAACAAATGAACTGGCACAGAGATAGCATAGAGCATTAAGAAGACCAAATATATACAACAACCCTATGGAGCACTGACTTTTTTAAAATAGAGATAAGCAAAAAAGTATACATTTATGATATTAATACTATACTCTAAAAGTTACAGTAGATTTGTCTGTTTGACATTCAAAGCTAGTCAGTTTGCAAACTCTTTTTATGATAAAACTAGGATACCTCATTTTATAATGCCTAAGGATTTCAATAAGAATCAACATTTTTAAATAAAAATTGTATACCTTTGAGGTATACAACATGATAATTTGATAAACATATACATAGTCACAACAGTCAAGCTAATTAACATATCTTCTCACATAGTTACCACTTTTTGGTGTGGTGTGATGAGAGCACCTGAAAACTCACTTAGCAAATTTCCAGTATTATTAACTAGTCTTCATGCTGTACACTGAAACACTGACATTTGAGGGTCAAGTGGAAGAAATGGAGACAGCAAAGGAGACTGAGAACAAGTCATCAGAGATGTAGAAAAACAAGGAAAGTCTGATACAGAGTACAAAGATTTCTAGAAGGAGTAACAATACTAGTTGCTTCTAATGAGAGGATGAGTAAAACGAAGGTTGAGGTTTGACTTACAAAGATTTCAATGAAAAGACTAGGTAACCTTAATAAGGATACTGTCAGAAATAGATTAATAGAGGCAGAAACTAGCTTCCAGTGAGTTGAGAAGGTGAATAGGAGGTTGAAAGGACACAGGTAGACTATTTTCTTATGGCTTCTACGTTGCTCTGCATAGTCCTTTGCATAGACCACATACTCATTAATCATGGGAGACTCCTAGAATTTCAGAGGTGAAAAGAAGTCTTGTAACTATGTAAAAGAAGAGAATAAAGTCCAGAGAGTTTTAGTGACTTGCCTGGCCAACCAAGTATATATGGAGAATTGGTGGCAGAGTCAAGACGAAACCCCTTTGTCAGTTAAGAACTGATGTAGTTGGAAACATAGGCCTGGGAGTCTATCAGACCTGAGTTTGGACCAACACTTAATAACTGTGAGGCCTGGGACAGGTTACTTTCTGCTTTAGTTTTCCTTATTTGTAAAATGAGGTTACTTTCTGCTTTAGTTTTCCTCATTTGTAAAGTGAAGGTAATAATAACATATATCTCATATTAGTTGTGAGAATTAATACCTGGCACATAGTAAGGACTCCATCATTCTTTTGCCTTAAAAAGTCTTTAAGAGGCATGCACTCTTTTGTACTGCTTTTATTTGTAACAATGGGAATATGAAACTATAAAAAGGGAAATTAGTATTTTGAAATAACAAATTTCAGAGATTACAAGCATCCTTTCTTACTGAGTTGAGTTACAGATATAATGTCTCATGCACATCTTACTATTAAAGCTCTATGGGTGCTTAAAGAAAATAATTTGCTCTTGTAGTGAGGGAAGGACTTGCTCTCGGAATAAGAAACTGTAAAATTATATAAAATTTGTGAGATCAGCACTACATTCAATGAGGATATGGAGATATCTAAACACAGTCCTTGCTGTCAAATAGATTATTGCCTTGTAGGGAAGAGAAACGGACAAATGCCGCAAAGTTTACATATGGACAGTGAGGGTAGAGGAGGGTGAGTAGTTGCTTCTGTTGAATAGAGAAAGAATAAAAAAAGGCTTCAAGAAAGAGGCACAGTTTGAGTTGAATCTTGAAAGATGAGTGTTTGCCAGCAGGGAAGGATGTCTGAACAAAGCAAAGAGCAGCATGTAAAAAGATACAGAAGCATAAAGCTAGAAAATCCGGGGAAGCATTGCACTTTCTGGAGCCTAGGATGAAAAAGAAACAAGAGGAGAGCAATGAGGCCAAGCAGAAAGGCAGGAGTGAGATCACAGAAGGCTTTGAAATTTGGGATTATTTCAAATAATCCCAAGGGTTATGGTTTGAATTTTGACTCCTCTCTACCATGTCATTTTAAAGGTATACTCCTGTAGGGCACTAAATGTATGCTAAATCTTAAATAGGTATTGAACTTAATCACCCACATGACATTGAAGCCTAAAACTGGGGTTTCTTTGTAACTGGGAATGCATCCAAGCGAGTGAGTTAGAGGTTTTTGGAAGCAGAAGAAAGCACAAAAAATTTGTTTTAAACATTTTCACTTATTGAGCACCTATTATATACTAGACACGTATTTTAGCTTATTATTCCTCACCACTATTATTTCCATTATCCAGATAAGGAAAAATGAGTCTTGGTTAAGTAAATGCTACTTACTTGCTCAAGGCTTATAGCAAGCAGGTGGCAGAGTCTGAAATTTAACTCCTGTCTCTGTTAAGTACTGTGTTCTTTTTACTGTAGAACAGATCTGCTACAAGATGTCAGCATAACCTCATGAGTAGCCAGAGCATCTTTGCCCATCCTTGAGGCTGATGCAGAGGGCAAGAGGCTGGAGTCATCCATACAGCTTTGAAACGTGTAGTTTACCATGACAAAGATAGCACAGGGGGAGACTTGCCTGTAGGGACTAGCCCTCTTGGGGCATGCCACCTAATCCGTTTGGTTTTGCATGGCTGGAGTCAGATCTAAGTAGCAGGACTAGAGAGCGTAAGAGGTTTGGGATTTGAAGAATTGTTGGAATAGGTTTTCTTTACCTTCTATTATGCACTTCACTCACATGCGTTTTAATATTTTGCAGGTTTACCTTAAGGTAAAGGAGCCTGTATTCCATCAGGTAATTCTTAAAAATTATTACACATTTGATTGTTTAACAAGACTTGCCTGCCTTGTGTTTTCTTTTTCTGGTAAATTACATATAGATACAACTTCTGAAAATGAAATGGTAGATGTCCTAAAAAAACTCACTGTTTAAAACAAAGGTTGCAAAATTCAAGTGCCTACAGGAGCCAGGTGTAGGTAACAGGAATATACCTGGAACAGCCAACGCCCAGGCCCAGCTGCTGCTGGTAGTCGGTAATATAGTGCAGCATTGCTCTTATAAGTGGAAAAAAACAGGAAGCATCATGCACATACACATATAAAGTCTTTTTTATGATGTTATTTTCTAAAAAAGATAGACTGAAAATTCTTGAATGTTTTCCCCCTAATATATATTTTAATAAGGTTTTTTTTTGCCATGGGAGGTTATTTAGATTGAGGGAAGCAAACACAGGGAACTTTGCTGTAGGAAATAATGATGTACGTGCATCCCATAATGAAATCAGAGTGAAATAAAGTGGGAGACTTTAAATCAAGAGAGCTATTGTTTATTGGGTTGCCACCATGTGCCTGGCACTATGCTCATTACTACATAGACTCTACTCGACCCAGCAGTCCTACAAGTTAGGGATTGTTGTTTGCATTTTAAGGTAAATGAGCTCAGAGACATTAAGTAATTTGCCCTAAGGTTACACAGTTATTAAGGGGCAGAGCCAGGATTGTAACCTAGATTTTTTTTACTCCTGTCACCATTCTTTTAACAAACCAGCAAACAAAAATAAAGAAATGAATAAGTATATCTCTCAGGAGTATCAGAGGCCTTGTAGTTTTAGGATATTTTGTGCTTATATAAAAAGTAAATGTTCCTATAACTTTTAAAACCGAAGCTAAACAATAACCATCTAACAAATCTATTTTTAAAAATAAATTCCAAAACCACATAATTGTGCCTTGCTTTTCTACAGGCCAGCTGAAAGTAGATGTACTAAGGTACATGTTACAGGAGAGGACACATTCACTGTCCTGTTTACTATAGCTTGAAGTGATGTCATTATGTCATTACCTCTTTATTTCAAAAGAGTTATTGACACAGTATAAAAAATGAGTAAGTTTATTTATATGAAGAATATTTCAGTTTTTGTAAATTTTTGGTTGCCTTTATAAGAGAGAAAAACCATAACCACAAAAAAAAAATCTGTAAATTTGAGGTTAATTTTTGTAAATTTATGACCATCAATTTTCCATTTTGTGTTTTAGACCTATTTGACATTATGTTTATGTAATAAAAGTATTCATATAATTTCCCATGCTGCAATTTCCATGTGTTTTCCCAGTAATAAATATTTTCTTCTCTGTGTTTAGTGGTAATGTTTGCTGATAGGAAGGGAAGCAGGATGAAAGCTTGTAGCTATGGCTTATATCCTAGGTTTAGAGATTAAAAATCAGGATAGAGAAGTGAAGAAGTAGGAGAATGGTAGGGTAAGGTGAAAAAGTAACCTGAAGGTGGAAGACATTCATTCATTTCACAGATGTCCACTGTGTACCTTTTCAGTACCAAATTCTGAACTGGAAGTAGGAAATAGAGAGGCATTAGAGCAAGACTTGAAGATCTAAAGTCAGGTAGACCTGGATTCCAATCTGGTCTCTTCACTTAACTAGCTGTATATCCGGCACAACTTACTTAACTTCTTTGAACTTTTTAAGTGCAAGATGTTATGTTCTAGGCATAGGAGATAACTAGTGAATGAAATAATGAGTTCCTGGTTCTTGAGGAGCTTATTATATCCTGCATCTGTAAAATTGGTATAATAATCTCCTAAAGTTGTTTGAGAATTAAATGGAAAAATGCATGTAAAAATCCCTTAGCGCATAGTAAACACTTAGTAAACGTTAACTAATATTAATATACCACGGCAAATTAGATGTGGCTGCTGGTCTCAAGGTGCTCACTGTTTGGTCAGTAAGATAGACTTATACAAAATAATTGTAGTATATATGTCTCTATGTCTCGTAATAAATATGTAAAAGCAATGCAAATGTAGACAAGGGCACAATCTGTTTAGATAACTCGAGAGGATTATAAAATACATCTATTGCATAGGTAAATTTTTACTTTAGTATTAAAAAACAAGTTAGAGAAAATGGCCCACTATTGTGATACAATAGTATTTCTTGCTACTTTGTAAAACTTTATATGAAGAGGCCTGCCTGAAATATCTTATCTAGAATATCCTATGCTGATCTGTTAAGTAATTAGGGTTGATACTTTCTCTTTATATTTATGGCTTTAAAATCTATCCCTTATTATTTTCTGGGTATCATTTTTAAGAAAAGAGAACTGTCTTTTTCTGAGAATATTCTATTTGTCCAAGTTCAGAGTATTGCTGTCATTCTTTCATATAACTGAATATTCTCATATACAGAAACTTAGAAAAATTCTTTTGAAATTTGTAAGTGGAAAAATTGTTTTGGAATTTGTGACAAGATTTACAATAACTTTCAAGATCTTAAAAATCATGTAAAAGGAGGAAAAAGCAACATTGTCTAATCTAAAGGAGTTCTGGCTTGAGAGTTTGGAATCTTGATTTCTTTCCACTTTGTTATCCTTGAACAGATTTCTTGCTGTGCTTTTTTGTCAATTTCCTCATCTTTAAAATGTTCAAAAAAAAGAAGTATTTTATTACATCAAGTAAAAGAAGTATTATATTATTACAATGATAATATAAAATAATATAATGAAAAGCACAAGGTAATGATACTAAAAAGTACATATTAAGATGTAAGATGACATGCATAAATTTATGCCTATGACAATCACAGAAAGTTTCTGAAAGAAAATATTTGAGTTTGGCCCAGAGCGATAAGTAATGATATACAATTAGAAGGAACGAGTTAATAAGCACTCTAAAAGTATCTGTCCCAACCAGCATGATTATCTTATTAACCAGATTAGCTTCCCAGAGAGAGAAAATGCTGATAACAGTTCTACTTGACTGTATTAAATCCAAGGTGATCCAAACATCTCCAAAAGAGAGCCAAATACAATTTACTTAATTTGGTGGCCTTGCAATGCATCATACTCAAATCACATAGTTGCCACATTCATGAGAAACACTAATGTGTATCTTAAGGAAACAAAAAAGAAGCATATATGAGAATAAATTAAAAGAACATTTAAGAAGTTAATGAACCCTCTTTAAGCAGCTAATTGACAAATCATTATTGGACTATCTCAGATGAGATCTCATCTAATGTCTCAGTACTATTAAAATCTTCTTGCCAAAGTAGATGTCTCCTAATGATTATTTCTAGATATCAGTGTTTTATTCCTCTCCCTTCTGATTTGACCCTTAAGTTTTGCAAGAAAGAACACACTATGTAAACAATGTGAAAAACTGTTTATTTAAATTTTATTGTTTTATTTGTGCCATTTTATTACAAATTATGGATGTAAGGAAACTACTATGTAAGCACACTTCAAAAACAAGCAAAAGAAACCAACATTTTTGAGTGGCTGCTATGTGCTAAGTATTGTATATTCTTTCATATAGTTTATATAGATTGACTTACCTATTATCTTACTAAAATATCAACAAACCTATATAGAATTGTCATCTTCATTTTGTAGGTGAAATAACTGCGAGTCAGGCAGAAAGTTTAAGTAACTGCCTAATGTTTCTCACCCAGTTAGTGGCAGAGCTGGAAATTGAATCCAGGTCTTTTTTATTCCAAAATCCATATGTCTTCCGTGATAGGATGATGCCCCTATAGTGGATTACTTTGGAATCTAACTTATTATTACAATAGAAAGGTATGAATTTTAAAAGAATGAAAAATGCTAGTTAGATTTTAGTACAATGATGAACTTAGAAAAAAATGTGAAGACCAAATATGTAAAACTTCGGTATAGCTATGCTTTACTTTAGGTAAGCCAGAATTCATTTATCAACTTTTAAAAACTGCCCAAAGTTAAATATAAGTGATGTATTTGGGGAGAGAAAAGAGATTAAAGGAAGGATTTCCAGAAGGCTTCACACAGGAGATGACATTTGAGCAGGATTTATTTGACCATAGAACTCTTTTTTATAGAACATCTCTTAACATCTCCCAGCACAGTAGGATTCTGGGAGATACTGTTTAGGAAATTCTGTGCCAAAATACAAGATCCTGCAGAGCAGGAGACGAGAAAGGAAGACTGGAGCCAAATTGTGAAGCACTGGATATCATTCTAAAGTTTAGATCTTATGCTTTTGCCATTGACAGAGGGGTGACTTGATAAGATCTATTGCAGATAATTCTGGCAGTTTTATGTAGGAAAAATTAGAGGCTGTATAGCTGGGACAGAATTATGATTTTAAACCAACTCTGAATATCTACAAAAACTATGTTTTTACCAACAGACCACATTGCCTTATGAGACTTGTATAATTGTTTTATAGTTATAAAGTAGTATCTACATTTAGCTTATTAGTATTTAAATGATCATCTAATTTTATAGAAGCGCCAGACTTATATTAGAGTAACATATTAACTCCCCAAATAAAAGGCCTCTTATACCCCTATTTTGATTTTAATTATAGGAATATGAAACCACTGTCACCTAGTTCAGTCCCTTCATTTTACAAATGGGAGTCCAAGGCCAAGATAAATGAAGTGACTTGTTCAAGATTATATAGTAAGGCAGTAATTAGGTGGTAGAAAAATATAGATCCCCCAGCTGCAGCCCTTGGCTTTTTCTATTAGAAGTTCTTTACTATGTTGGACAATTGATTGTTGTTAATTTAATGAGTGAGTCCATTACAAACTCCAAATGCCTGAATCCTGTTATCTATCACCACCACACATTCCCACTCACTGGGGCTTTATCCACAAGTCCCTGCCTGTCTCCCACTTTAATGAACTGTTCTTGACCACAGGTGAGCTGAGTGCCTTTCTTCTAGAATGAAATCTCCCTCCGGAGATTCGATTGTGAAGCTAATTATTATTCTAGTGGATTAGTATAGAATTGTTTCTTTATTGTTTAAATACAACAGATTCTCGAATAACATCATTTTATTCAATGTTCTTTTGTTATGTGAGCTGTGATAAAAAAATACGGTGAATGTTTAAATTTTTTTAAAAAATTTATTACAGTAACAGACACATTGCCATTAATCCCCCTCAAAATACTCCTTCTTGCTTCCAATACACTTATCCCATCCTTCTTACCACTTTGTGAAGCAGCTTTGGAAGTCCTCTTTTGTGACTGTCTTTAGTTGCACTGTCATGGCTGCCTCTGTATCCTGAATTGATTCAAAACATTTACTTTTCATGGTCATTTTGACTTTGAGGAAGAACCAGAAGTCATACGGTGCCACCTTATTCACTGGATCTGGCACCATGTGACCTCTGGCTCTTCCCCAAAGTCAGAATGATTCAGGACAATAAGTACTGGGTAGAAAATAAACTGGTCAGTTATTTGGAACTCTTCTCTGTGTTTTGGCTTAATTCAAGAAATAGACTATAAGGAATGAGTCCTGGAGAATGTTAACTCTGAAGAACTGTTGAAAGTCAGTCTCCCTCAATATCATCAAAATAATCATTGTATACGTACCCTTTCCAAAGTCCCACATTACAGCCCTGTCCCTTTTAATTTGCCCTCTTTTACCTCTCAGTTTCATCCATCTTCAAATGTTTCCACACAGAAATCTTAATGCAACTCAGAACAAAATGTTTTTCTGCTTTTCTCAAAACACTTTCATTTTCTTTTCACTAATACACAAAATCACAACCTGCTTTTTCCCTAGGCTATAGGTTCCTTGAGGATAAATACCAGGTCTCAGAAATACACACAGCGTATTTATTTCTAGGATGCTTTAGCAGAGAGAAAACACTAGTAACATTTTCATAGTCTTTAGAGCTTGAGGGCTAAAAAATTATTAAACATAGAAAGATATAAAAAATTTTTTGTAAAATATTTTAGATGAAATTGCAAGGAGCAGAAAAGTATGTATTGACTTTATTTTAAAAATGACTAATATTAGAATAGGCATAGAAAAAGTTGCAAAGGTCAGGTGGCCACCTCTAGCTGCAAGAGAGTCTGGGAAATCAAGCTTTTATAGCTGGGCATAATAAAAGGAAGAAAATTAATTTTAAAAAGCCCCCTAGTACTGCCAAGGTATAGTTTTTTTCCTTATCCATTATTTGATATGTTTAGTATACTCCCTAACAATCCATTCCACTTCTGTATGCTGATGATTCATAAACCTGTCTCTTCAGCTCAGATTTTTCTTCTGAGGGTTAGACCCAGATAGCCAGCTCCTGCTAGAGATCTCTACTTGGATATCTAACTGGTACCTTAAACTCAACATATCCAGACATGAAATCGCCATTTTTCTCCTCAGTCTTTCTTCTCTTCATATATTCTCTAACCTAATAAACAATTGCACCTAACTGCCCAAGTCATAAACCAGACCATCATTGACTTTCCCAACTCTTCCTAACTCCCATTTCAAATTATCTGTCCAAGGCTAAACATCCCTAACCTATACATTTCTCTCCATTCCCACTGATACTACCCTAATTTAGACCCTTCCTCTCACCTAGGCTACTGCAATACGTCGTCATTGATCTTTTTTCCATCAGTCTTGCCTTCTTCTAATTCATTCTTCACACAGCAAGACAAGAACATCTTTCTAATACATGAGCGATCATACTGAGCTACTGCTGAAACTTTCACTGACTTCCCATGGCCCTTAAGATAAAGTATCTTTAACATGACTTGAAAAGCCAGATTTGACTTCTGCTTACCTTTCTGGCTTCATTTTTCCCAGTCTTCGCTCCAAAACTATATTCTAGACATCCTTACTTTCTTCTACTACCTAGACCCCTTCTAGTCTTCTAGACCCCAAATCCTTTAAAGAATATGAGGTCGGACAATTAAGCTCACGAACTCATCCTAGAAAAAGTGCTACATATCTCATTGCTGAATATCACTACAGTCACCTTCGAAGTACTCCCCTCAGGAAGCTATGTGCCAATGCCAGCTCCTAGTCCACCCTTCAAAGCAGTTTTGGAACTCTCTTTTTCTGGGATGGCCATCAGAGCTGTTGTCATATTACCCTTGATGTCCTGAATGTCATCAAAATGTCTTCCTTTCAATATTTCCTTTATCTTTGGTTAAAGAAAGAAGTCATTGGGGACCTGATCAGGTGATTGGGGAGAGTGTTCCAATACAGCTATTTGCTTACTGGCTAAAAACTTCCTCACAGACAGTGCCGTGTGAGCTGATGCATTGTCGTGATGCAAGAACCATGAACTGTTGGCAAAAAGTTCAAGTCATTTTTGTCTAACTTTTGTCTAAAAGTGCCTTTTCAGCACTTCCAAATAGTAAACTTGGTTAACTGTTTGTCCAGTTGGTACAAATTCATAATGAATAATCCCTCTAATATAAAAAAGCTTAGCAACATCATTGCAACAAGTTTGCAAACTTAATTGTCAGACCCCCGTACACTCTCTGACCCAGAAATTATATTCCTAGGTACATACCCTAGAGAAACTTGTGACATATGCACTAGGATATGTGAATAAGAATGTTTGTAGCATTGAAAACTGGAAATAACTCCCAAATGTTCACCAATACAAGAATGGATAAATAAATTTTTATCCAATTAAGTAGTATATAACATCAAAAATGAATGAACTATGGCTACATACACAACATAACTGAATCTTAAAAGACAAGAAAAAATATATACAACATTAGTCTATAAATTCAAAGTCAGTTCAATTCAAATTAAAATTCAAGAAAACAAATAATATTATTCAGGAATGTATATTTAGGAGACCAGTTTAAGTTAGTAAATATGTAAAGAAAATGTGTATTATAAAAGTCAGGAGAATGGTTTCTTCTAAGGAGGAAAGGAGAGGGTTGGACTGGGAAGAGACACATGCAGCGTTTCTGGGTGCTAACAGGGATCCATGTCTTGAACTGAGTGGTACTTCCCCAGCTATTGGCTATTTAAGTGTTTGTTAAACTGTACCTTTATATTCTATCCAATTTTTTTGTATTTAATATTCCTCACTTTTAAAAGTTCAGTCTTCCCACTCGTTTCAGTTTTCCAGGTAGTAGTACTTATCTGTTGCTCCATACAGAAGAGAAAAGGGTTGGTTGATGGAGCCAAGTCTAGGAATATTTAGGAGCATATAGAATAAAGAACTCAAATTAGATTTACCTCAGTCAAGAAGAAATGGGCACCTCTTTCTTTGGATACTAGAAATGGGAGAAACAAGGTAGGGATGCATTTGTGAATGCAAAAACATTTAGGAGGAGAGTGTAAAAGAGTTCGTATTTATACTGTTATAAAAGGGAAAGTAGTATCAGTTGCTAAAAGAGAAGCTAAAGAGAAGGGAAGGATCGAGGGAGTGAGGCAAAATTATAGCATTTGTTCGGGTTTCAGCAGACATTTAAAATTTCATGTAACCATTCAGAATTAAAATTGACATAGGAATTCTGATATCCGTTATTCACAAGCAGTCTCTTAATTTTTCCTCAAAGGTTAGCATGACTCTTAATTATATAATTACATATGTTTTTTTTAATTCTGTTCTTTAAAATGTTTAAAGATAATAAATGTTTACATTTAATTGGGAGGGCTATTTTTGTATACTTTACTGAAGAATAATGATTTTACTAACTTCGTTTTTCCTTATTTAGGTCATGTATGGAATGTTGGTCTTCACATTAGTACTTCGATCTATTTATATTGTTACATGGTAAGTAGATTGGATCAGCAACACTATGATTGGTGTACATTCAGGTGGTAAATCTATAGCCTAAATTGAAATAACACATAAAACCCAACTCCAGCAAAGATATTGATTGAAAACTCTAATCCAACATTTTTTATGGTATATTACAAGGTATACTAGTTCTTTAAGCAAGTTGTTAATAGGCATATGAAAATAAGAATTCCAATGATGGCCTGCTTTTGAATATTTATAATGTGTATTAGTATGCTAAAGGCCTTTAAAAATCCTACAATAAAAGAAATTGTTTTTATGTTCCTCAGACTACTTGACTAAGGAACTTCTTTTATAGGAACACGTTTCAAGGAAGGCTATTAATGTCACAAAGAATCCCATGTTCCAGAAATATCATTTAAGAAATAGGGATAATCTTAATAGAGTTTATAAAGATTAAATAATATTCATGTGAGTACCTTACATAGGTGCACAATAAATAAATAATATGATTTATAGGTTTATTCTTTTTTTTTTAATTAAACTTGTAGGTAAGTGTAGAAGCATATGCATTTGTAAGAAATAATTAGAGAGAGATTTCCAGTACCCTTTACCAATTTCCTCTAATGATAACATCTTGTTAAGCTATAGTACAATATCACAACCAGGATTTGGCATTGATGGAGTCGAGATACAGAACAATTCCATCACCACAAGAATCCCTGTGTTGTCCTTTTATAGTCACCTCCACTTTCCTCTTACCCCGTCCCCTCACCCCCTGTCCTGACCCCTGGAAACAACGAATCTGTCCTTCATGTCTATAATTTGTTTTATTTCAAGAATATTATATAAGTGGAATCATATACAGTATATATAACCTTTGGGATGGCCTTTTGCACTTTGCAGAATTCACTGGAGATCAATATAAGTTGTTGAGTGTATCAATAGTTCATTCCTTTCTATTGCTGAGTAGTATTCCATGATATGAATGTACCACAGTTTAACCATACACCTGTTGAATGACACCTGGATTGTTTCTATGTTTTGACTATTATGAATAAATAAAGCTGCTATGAACATTTGTTTACATGTTATTGCGTAAATGTAAGTTTTCATTATTCTGGAATAAATACCCAGAGTGGAATTGTTAGGTTCTATGATAGTTACATATGTTTAGTTTTTCTCAAAACTGCCAAACTGTTTTCCAAAGTGGCTCTACCATTCTACATTCCCATCAGCCATGTATGAGTGACCCAGTTTCTCTGCATTCTTGTCAACATTTAGTGTTGTCACTATTTTTTATTTTAGCCATTCTCACATGACATATATACTGACATCTCATTGTGGTTTTATCTCATTTCTCCAATGTCTAATTATGTCGAACATATTTTCATGTGTTTATTTGCTACCTGTATATCCTCTTTTGTGAAATGTCTGTTTGTGTCTACTCATTTTCTAATGGGATTGTTTCTCTTTTTTTCCAGTTGAGTTTTGAGTGTTCTTTATATATTCTAGGTAGTAATGCTTCATCAAATATGTAGCTCACAAATATCTTTTCTCAGTCTATACCTTGTCTTTTCATTCTCTTCATGGGGTTTTTCACAGAGTAAAAAATTTTGATTTTGATGAGGTCCACTTTACCAATTTTCCTTTTATGGATTATGCTTTTGGTGTCAAGTCTAAGGACTCTATGCCAAACCCTAGATTTTCTCCTATTTTCTTTCTAAAAGTTTTGTATAGTTTTACATTTTGCATTTAAGTTCATGATTTAAGTTAGTTTTTGTATAAGGTGTGGGGCCTAGATCAAGGTCCATTTTTTACCTGTGGATGTCCAGCTGCATTAAGATCATTGGTTGAAAAGGCTATCCTTTATCCTTTGAAATGCTTTTACACCTTTCTCAAAAATTGTTTGGGTATACTTGTATGGATCTATTCCTAGGTTTTTTATTCTGTTGCATTGATCTGTGTCTATCTCTCTACCAATGCCACACTTTCTTGGTTATTACTGTAGCTATAAAATAACTCTCCAAATCATATACATTGATTTTTCTCACTTTTTCACAATTCTTTTAGCTGTTTGAGTTCCTTTGCATTTTCATATAAATTTTAGAATAATATTGTCTATATTTAAAATCTTGTTGGAATTTTAATAGGAATTGCATTAAACCTGCATATCAATTTGCGAAGAATTGATATCTTTATTCTGTTGATTCTGCCAATTATGAATACAATGTGTCTCCCCATTTATTTAGATTGCCTTTGATTTCTTTCATCATCCTGGAATTTTCATTTTTCAAGCAATTGTAAATGGTATTGTATTTTTAAATCTTGGTGTCCATTTGTTCATTGCTAGTATATTAAAATACAATTGATTTTCTTTATGTTTATTTGTATTCTGGCACCTTGCTGAACTTAATAGTACTAGGAAACTTTTGAAGATTCCTTGAGATTTGCTGCAGATGGAGACAGTTTGTATCATCTTTTCTAATGTATGTGCTTTTGATTTCCTTTTTTGCCTTATTACCCTGGTTAGAACTTCTAGTACTATGTTGAATAAGAGTAGTGAGAGCAAATATTCTTGCCTATTTCCCAATCTTAAAGGAGTATTCAATCTTTCACCATTAAGTACAATGTTAGCTGTGTGGGTTTTTTTTAGATGATCCGTATCAAATTGTGGAAGTTGCTCTTTATTCCCAATTTTCTGAGAGTCTTTATCATGAATGGGTGTTGAATTTTGTCAGATTCTTTTTCTGTATCAACTGATTTGATTATATGATTTTTTCCTGTAGTCTATTAGTATAATGGATTACATTGATTAATTTTTAAATATTGAACCAATTTTGTATTCCAAATGAACCCCACTTAGTCATGGTGTAAAATTATTTTTATATATTCTAAGTGATTGTTAAGGATTTATGCTCATGAAGGATATTTGTTTATAATTTAATTTTTTTTTACTGTCTGTCTGGTTTTTGTATCAGGGTAATATTAGCTACATAAAATGAATTGGGAAATGTTCCTTCCTCTTCTATATTCTTGAATAAATTGTGTAAAATTGTTGTTAATTCTTTAAATGTTTGGTAGAATTCTCCAGTTAAACCATCTGGGCCTATAGTTTTTTGGGGGAACAGTTTTAAAACCATGAGTTCACTTTCCTTAATAGTTACAAGGCTATTCAGATTATCAATTTCATATTGATTGTATTGTGATAGTTTGTGTTTTTCAAGGCATTGGTTCATTTCATTGGTCCATTTGACATATAAGTTGTCAAAATTTATGTGTGCAGAAGTTGTTTATATTTTCTTGCTTTTTTTTTTTGAGGCCTTCAGTGTGTAGCAATATCCTGTTTTATTCCTGATAATGGTGACAGTGAGTTCTACCTCCTCCCACCCCCATCAGACTTGCTAGAAGTATGTCCACTTTATTGATCTTTTAAAAAATCAGATTTTTTTTTCCAATTTTTGGCTTCATTGATTTCTGCTCTTTATTATTTCCTCCCTTCTGCTTCTTCTGGGCTTATTTTGCTCTTCTTTTTCAAGGTTCTTGAGGTAGAAGCTTAGATTATTAATTTGAGATTTTCCCTCTTTCTTATTAAACATTTCATGTAGATTTCCCTGTCAGCACTACTTTAGCTGTGTCCCACAAATTTTGATATTTTGTATTTTTATTTTCATTCAGTCCAATGTATGTTATTTAGTTTCCCTTGAGACTTTGTCTTTGACCAAGGATTGTTCAGAAGTATGTTGTTTAACATTCTGGTATTTGGATATTTTTCTATTATCATTCTAATTTCTAATTTGATTCCATTAAGGTCAGAGAATACATTCTGTATGATTTCATTTCTTTTAAATTAGCTGAGGTTTGTTTTATGGGCCAGAATATGGTCTATCTTGACATATGTTTCATGTATGCTTAAAAAGAATATGTATTCTGCTGATGTTAGGTGAAATGTTCTATTAATATCTGTTAGAGCATGTTGTTTGATGGTTGCATCAGAGGTCCCTAAGACAACCCTCAGGTTTAATAATATGCTAGAAGGACTCACAAAACACAAAAAAAAACTGTTATGTTCATGGTTACATTTATTAACTAGAGGTCAAACTGATATTGCATGGCTCAGGGCTCCAGGCAAACAAAAACAAACATTTACTGTTAATCACATTATTAGCATATGGTGTGGCCCAAAGTGTCAGATATACAAAGACATTCTTATAGCACAGGCTATTTCAAGAACTCAGATGTTATCTCCCAGGAACCAGTCAAGGGTCAGCCTTTTCTTTGGAATGTGCAGTGTTTGCACACCCCAAATCCACTGAATGAGTCACTTGCTGCACAATGGTGTTGTTGAGTTCTTCTACACTCCGTCTAGTTATTCTTTTAATTGTTGAGAGAAAAGTGTTGAAATCTCCAAATATATTGTGGACTTGTCTATCCTTCATTCTATCCGTTTTTGTTTCATCTTGTCATTCACTGCATTTTGCAGTTCTGTTGTTTGGTGCATAGATACTTAGAATTACTGTCTCCTTAGTGGGTTGACGCTTTTGTCATGATGTAATGCCCTTCTCTGTCTCTGGTCATTCTCTTTGACCTGAACTCTACTTTATATCATGTTAACATAGCCATATTAATAAAGCTTTTTTTATTGTTTGCGAGATATATATTTTTCATTCTTTTACTTTCAACCTGCCTATATTGTTATGTTTGAAGTGAGTTTCCTTTGTACATCATATAATTGGTTTTTAAATAACTATATAATTTTTAATTCAATCTTCCAGTCTCTTTTAATTGGTGTGTTTAGGTCATTTACATTAACATAATTAATATAGTAAGGATTGTCTGCTAGTTTATCTTTTGTTTCCTGTTTGTTGTATATTTTGTTTCTCTTTTTTCTTTTTTTCTGTCTCCCTGTGAGTTAATTGAACATTTTTTAGACTTCCATTTTATCATATCTATAGTGTTTCTCTTTGTATAGCTTTTTTAGTGATTGTTCTTTATATATACAGAACATCACAGTCTAATGGTGTCAACATTTT